CCCCCACTTGGTCTCTCCCAGGATGGAGGCTCTGGGAATAGCTTAGCATCTTGAATAAGAAAGCAATGGATTTCTTAATTCTACTACAAATTCCCCTAGCTGTAGATTTCTTAATTCTACTACAAATTCCCCTAGCTGTAAGCCTTCCAATCTTCTAAATATTCCTTCAGAGTTCTAGCACCATCCCCTGAGCCTGCTTGGTCTGGTATTCTGTGTTGTTGGTGATGGAGCTCCTCACTGCACGTCTACCCGAAACGCCACCTTAGGGGGAACGAAATCTACAGAACCCTGGATGGGACTTGGAAGAAGAGGCTGGACATGCTCTTTGGTATATGGAGAGTTTTCCCTTTAGTTAAGTAGGGCCAAGAGAATTAATAAGACCTTTGGACCAAAGAAAATATCCTCATTAATCTCTATATAGAATGTGATCTATTCTAAAGACAAGATAATCAGTTGGTTTCAATGAATTATATTACTGACCTTATCAAAAATAGCTCTGGAATTTCCAGTGGCTGAGAGTAATTCATCAGCTTCAAAATGATCTGGAGTCAGTTTATGTATGTATCCCAAATGATCATAGTATAATGTGAAAATTTTATCAGTGATAGATCCAATTTCACTGTATCTTTTTACACCTGTTAGGAGATAAACAGAAGTCTTTTGATATTAATATAATACAGGTAGAGAATGCCTTCATTTTGACTACAGAGTGGTCTCTGAGATTCTTGGGTTAATAAAATACATGTTAGTCTTTGTCAAGTCTCTGGAAAACCTTTTCCAGGTTCCGTTTCACTAACGAATCTATTCAGTGAAGTAGGTGACGGATAAAACTGAGTGAAGGGATACTTACTTAAGAGGTCTAGAGGAAACAGGTGAGGCTCCTAGCCCCGCATGGTTTCTCTTCCTAATACCAGCAAATCAATTAGATTCTTGAATAGGAAGAAAGCCATGGGAAAACCACCCCAGGATGGAAAGGGGCTTACTATTGGATAGCACAGGTTCATTAGCTATCTCTGCCACAGTGCGCAATTGCATGTTTTCCCTTACAGCTACCAATTAACTTTACCCTGTTTTATAGTAACATCTTTGGAGTCCTGGTGTGGTGCTGTGGGTAATGCACTGGGCCGCAAAGTTGCTTTGAACCACAAGGTCGGTGGTTCAAGTTCACCAACTACTCCTTGGAAACCCTATACAGGGTTGCTATGGGTCAGAATTGACTTGATAGCACTTAACAACAATAGTAACTTCTTTGAGACTCAGCAAGTGCCCACATATGTATGTTGTTGTTAAGTGCTGTCGAGTCGGTTCTGACCCTGTACAAGGTTTCTGAGGAGTAGCTGGTGAGTTTGAACTGCTGACCTTGCCACACATATGCATAGGTATATTCTATTGACTTCTATGCATATTCTCTTCTCTTCCATTGGTCAATCTTGTCTGTTGTTGCTAGTTGCCTGTTTTTGTTGTTGCTTCAGGTGTTACCTAGTTCACGCTGACTCACAGTGACCTTAAGTAGAACAGAACAAAACACTGCCCCAGCCTGCGCCTTCTTTACAATTACTGTTATGGTTCAGCCCACTGCTGCTGCCACTATGCCAATTTATCTTGTTGGGGGTGGGGCGGTCTTCCTCTTTTTCGTTGACCCTCTCCTTTACCAACCAAGCTTGATGTCCTCCTCCAGGGACTGGTCCCTTCTGATAACATGTCCCAAGTAGGAGAGACAAAGTCTTGCCATCTTGACTTCTAAGGAGCATTCTGGCTTTGCTTTTTCAGACACAGATTTGCTTGTTCTTCTGGCAGTCCACAGTACTTTTAATATTCTTCTCTAACACTGAAACTCCAATGCATCAATTTTTCTATGGTTTACCTTATTTACTGTCCAATTTTCACAAGCATATGAGGCTATTGAGAATACCATGAGTTGTGTCGGGCATACCTTAGTCCTCAGCCTGACATCTTTGCTCTTTAATGATTTAAAGAAATCGTGTTAGCAGATTTGATTAATGATATATGCCTTTTTTATTTCTTGACTGCTGCTTCCATGAGTGTTGCTTGTGGATCCAAGCCTAGTTTTGCATAAACACCATGCTGTGTTAATACAAGAAGACTTGATAGCTGGTAAAAGTTTTTTGCTTATTTCTTCTACAGAATTATTTTAATTACTCTTGGACTTTTACATTCCATACATAAATTTTGGAATCAGCTTGTAAGTTCCACAAAATAAATTTAAAAAATTAATAAACCTTTTGGATTTTCATTGGATTGCATGGAATCTGTATTTCATCTTAAACTGACAGCTGTAAAATATTGAGTCTTTAATCCATGAACATGATATCGTTTTTTTGTTTGAGTCTTTCTTGATACTTTTTGGTTAAGTTTTATAAATTTCCCCACAGAAGTTTTGCACATCTTTTGTTAGAAATAATCTATATGTTTGCTATTTGAATGTATTTAAAATGACATATCTGAGGGGGCTTCAAAAAGTTTATGGAAATAAGACCATAGGTGTAATCCTGAACCTCACCCAGAATCTTCTGAGGTGGAAAATTTGCACTTGAAAGGACAAGCAGACCAGTATGGAGGGCTAGAAGAACAGAGGATACTTCTTGAAAGAAAGACTGACAGGAACAATACAAAACTATAATGCAGTCTTATTGATTACTACAAAAACAAGCAAGTTGCTTGCTCAGGAGACATCAAGACAAGTGGTAGGGTCCCCTGAGGGCAAACTCCCTTCCAAAACTAAGACTCAATGGGAATACATAAGCAGACATGCGCTCTGATTGGTGACCACGTTTATTACTGATAAGGGAAAGTGAGGGAAAAACAGCAATGAAGCTGTGAGCTAAGCCCTACAGTGTTCGCTAGACTCCTGTGAACCTGTGTGGAGACCTGGTTGGCCAGCAGTATGGCAAGACCTGGGGACTCTTGGGCTCAGAGTCAGTGACATAGTCACAGAGGACTAGAGTGGAGAATGAAGCGCCCAGCAGAAGAGAGGGCATATGCATAAGAACATGCACACTTGGAGATAATACCCATTTGACCTGGCTTCAATGACTGGATGATCAGAGTGCAAACAGAAGAAGAAAGAAGAGGAAAAAAAG